TCCTGAAGGTAGAAGAGTTTGTTGAATCTGACGTGACATGTTCGTACGAACCCTTTGTACGAACAAAAGTAAGAGAAATTTAGGAGAAGAATACGAACATGTTCTTGCATGAGGCCCAATGTTTTTAAATGTGACCTCCATCAGACTCCAGTGTGAACTCTACATGGCACTGATGCCACTCACAATGCACAGAAAATGACGTGATGTCACATTTAGCTCGCTGTTTACAGAAGTCAATAGAGATGCTACATGTTAGCAGGTCGACTCTGAAGTTATTGTGCAATCAGTTGATTAAARCATTATTTGACATGTTTGTTTAGTCCACTGTTTACATTTGCACAGGCCTCTGATCGGCTGATTCGGTGCAGCGTTTGGTTTTTGGAACAAAACTAAGCTATCGATCCAGTAACTTTATTATCCACACGATCCGAGGCAGGCGTTTCTATCATGTATTTCTGTGGATTCTCAGTCATCCGGGACACAGAAAATTAAAAGAAAAAAAAGACAAAAACAACTGGATTCTGTTCTGCAGCTGAAGACGTGAGGAGTTACAAGTTTTAAACAGCATGAGGTTMGTATCAATTCAGTGATCCCTCGCTATAATGCGGTTCACAGATATTTTTGTGCAGTTTTTTTTTTCCACAGCCCATTGTGTTCTTCGTCCTGATTGGCTAAACAGTCTCTGTGCTCAACAGGCTATCGACATGTCAGAGCCTGTAAGATGATTTTAAAAAAAAACAATAATTAACACCAAATAACCATCTTCCAACCTGTTCTGCTGCTAGAAATAAGTTCTGGGGTCTCATGTATCAACGGTGCGTGCGCACAAAAACCTTGCGTACGTCATTTTCCACGCAAAACTCCGGATGTATCAAAACTCAACTGAACGTGGAAATGTGCGCAGCCCCACGCCAACTCCAGGGCTGAGGTACGCACGTTTCTGTGGTTCTGGTTCCATTGGCAACACTTACAGGTGATTCTGAGAAACTGTTCACGATGTGAAAATGATTATTGTTCACAGCAGACACACATGATTAACAATTATGACATCCACATGATTAACAATTATGACATCCACATGGACYCAGTTAAATAAAGGACGCGCAAAGTTGTGCCAAAAATACATTTAACAGCAACGGATTCAGCCTTACTGGAGGATATAATAAATAGTGAAACACGCAGAGCTTTTAAATTTAAATAGATAGAAATTTCTGATGACGAGTGGCTCATCAGCCGTTTTGAGGAAAAATCATTTTTAGTTTGGCACRGCWGCGRTCTGGGAGRGRSACGCAGCGAGMAGCTGTGCACCAWGCSTGCACGTGCAGCAGCAGCGATTGAACTGGGGTTCCACAGYASCTTTCCAGAGGGAGCTGGCAGACCCATCAGGACTCAGTCCAGTCCACCCAAAGCTGAATCCTGACCACTGGAATCATCTCATCCATATGATTCTAAAGGCTGAGTTTTGGTAATGATTTAGAGCGCACACCCTCGCCGGCAGTGGAGYTGTTTCATACTTGGTGTTTACGTTGTTGTAGATTTCTCCAAAATAACACGTGGAAGTACACTTTACAACTTGTGAAAATGCTGTAAGTAGGAGAGAAAAAGCTGGACAGACAAACAGACTGCGCACAAAGGCTGCAACGTGTGTGGACTCTCCAACATCACATCACGTCATGTGAACTCTCTTCTGAGACGCAGAGACTCGTTTCTTAATATCAGCTATGAAATAAACAAATATCTTTGTTCTACCAAACATTTAAGTTCCTCTGTGTTTACAGTAATTATGGTAATAAACTCGTGCACAAAGTTAATATTTTCAGACTCAGAATGGATGGATGAGCCGGTTGCGCAACACAGCTGCATACACACACACAAATCGACACACAATCGCTCGTTCTTTGCGTGATAAACATATTTTATTCCCATTTTTACTTAGGATTTTTTTTCACACTCACTTTATATTTAATTCATTATTTTTATGACATTAGAAATCATTTCTGATCGTGCAGGGATCAAACAAACGTGTCCTTCACACATGCAGGAAGTYATCTGCATCTGTTMAACATATGTTAATGAAGGCGTGTCAYGGGAGGTGTCTMACCTGCGCTCAGTTCCACGTTAATTGTGATGTACAAAAGCAATGTGCGTGGATTCAGGCGTACGCACAGTTTGATACATCTGGATTTTTTTGGGCATACGCCGTTTTCTGGATTTGACCGTACGTCAGGTTTCAGTAAGAAATCCACGCAAATCTTTGTACATGAGGCCCCTGGACTTTTTCCGCTCTCATTTCCTCCTGCTTTGCAGCAGGCGCTGCCGGTGGGAAAAAAAAAGTCTTTCAGCTCGCAGCTCCTCGAGTGGCGAAACTAAACCGAACAAACCGCCTCTAAATTATCTGGTGAACTAATTATCTGATGTGCGCAACATTCGCTTGCTCTTTAGTAAATAAAGCAAAGCCATTTTCTTTATTTTATCTTTATTTCACCCGTCATTAAAGACAGACCGGTGCTCCTCCCTCTTCAGACGTGCATGTGATCCACTGCTGCGTTCAACACTGAATGTGCTTCGGTGCGTCCAAGGCGTTGGGCGCATTTTTGCTGCTCAAAACGCGTTCGGTGGGAACCCGGTGTACCGGCTTAACTACTTCACYGATTTCGCCTATCATGGGTTGTTTRTGGAACGCAACCCTCGCGTAAAARGAGGGGTCACTGRATTCTAAATACTTGGYTTGAGAGTTCAAACTGTAGTTGCTTTGAAAAACATCAGATATGCATCTGATTCTGTACCACACAGTGAAAAGGCCTGGGTGGGATTTGTCACGTTCAGACTGTCATGAAAAATGGTTTGCATGGGGCAAAAAACTTTTGATTTTTTTTGCCGTTACCCCCCCACAAAAAATAAATAAAATAAAATAAAAAAATTGGACTTGGGTCTCACTTGCCTGCAGTGTGAACATAGCCTATGATTTGACACCTATGGAACTGTGAAAAAGTGTCTGACAAATAAAAGTGCTCATGATAATCACATTCTGGTCAACATTAAACGTGCATTACTCACRTCACTGTTGGCTTGTGCGCTCCTTTGCTTTTGCTCCTCTAAACTTTTCCGACCTCCTTCAGCTTGCTCACCAGGTCTTCCACCGTCTCCACCTTTATCCCTGCTTGTCTCTGCGGGGGCTCGTCAACGCTCAGCACCTCCAACCGGGACGTGAGGTCCACCCCCAAATCTGCAGGCTTCACGTTTGTAATCTTCTTCTTTTTAGCTTTCTGAAATTTTAAATAAATAAACAAATAAATAAATAAAACACAAATTAAAAAATATATAGTGATAAAAAAAAAAGTGACGCTAATTCATTTCAATCTTGTATTTATTTAAATGCTCACAAAATGACTGACAAGATCCTTAAATGCATTTTGCACTGGTGACKACTGTTACCTGGTACCTACCATAATGTTAGGCAGGGTAGCATATCTYGGGGTGTTGAGTCTGAGGTCTGCAGTCAGCACTGCTGGTGTGTTGATCCTAATAGTCTCTAGRCCACCATCAATCTCTCGGACCACCTTAACCTTCCCTTCTTCCAACGAAACCTCTGATGCAAAGGTACCCTGCAAAATGAAGACAAAGCACAAATTCTCTGGATTAATACTGTTAACGCGGTTTATTAGGYAAATGGAAAAACCTGGTTTTCACTCTGACACATGAAACTTTTCTGCRCCACCTGCTGGCTCATTGGTGGAACTACAATAAATCAATATTTATCCTAGAACTAATCTACTAACTCTTGAAGCCAAAAATAAAATGTATATATAAATAAGTCTGTGTTTTATTATAGGGATGTCTGAATTATTTTAAATAAACATGGTAKATGCAACCAACCGATAAAGTGAAAGACATTGTTCTGTTTTACATTTTAAGTGAATTTTATGCTGTAGATCAGAGTTGTGTTGAAAGTAGAAGCATTTAGATTGTAACTAACCTGAGGCCAGTCCAGTAAGGCCGCTGTCATCTGGCCAGTCTGGTTACAGTCATCATCGATGGCCTGAGACAGAAACAAAAGGAAGAAAACAAGTGTTTAAACTTTTGTGAATGTTCGACTTTAAAAACAACAACGAACTGATTTAAGATTCTGTTACTGACCTGTTTGCCGAGGATGACGAGTTGAGCCTCTTCGCTTTTGGCCAAAGCAGCCAGGATTTTGGAGACTTGCAGGGGTCCGAGGGATTCGTAGTCTTTCCCACTGACTTCCACATGAATGCCACGGTCAGCTCCCATGGCAAGGGCAGTACGAATGGTTTCCTGGTAAAATACAGAGTTACAACTATATTTTATTACGYTTTTTCCAAAAAAACTCAAAATTCATTCCCAAAATTTAAATCTGAAAATGTAGCAGGTTGTAAATGTCCATTGTTTCATTTATTTGGGATATTAATGGCCTGCAGTGTGGTTTTGCATATAAAGCRTTTCTTAATATTGCTTTTTTTACTTCAGTTGCTGCTTGTTTATGCAGAAAAAACCCCACCGTATAGAGTACCCATTTTTTCTGTTTACATGTCAGTTGTGGGAGGTTTTCAACATTTATGACATCAAATGTATAACAAAGAAAACTTACAGGACAATATGTTTTTATAAAGCTCAGGTTCGGCAAACAATATGCACTTTTTAAATAGCTGGGGGTAAAAAAATATCATAGCGTTTCAGCATTTAATTTTATTTTGTGCACAGTTTTAATCTCTTTGCAGTTATTACTCGCACTCACCTGTGACTGCTGTGGCCCACAGCTGACAGCCACAACTTCTTTAATGAGCTTTTTCTCCTTCAGTTTGACCGCCTCCTCCACAGCGATCTCACAGAAGGGGTTCATCGAGTGTTTTACGCCATCTGTGACCACACCAGTGTGATCTGGCTTTACACGGATCTGTAAGGAGCCAAAAGCAACAGATCAGAGTGACAGAAGGAGTACCACATTTGCAGTAAATAAAGTGGTCGAGCTAAAACCCCAGCCAAATCTGAGTTTTTTTTTAATCAGCTGGAATCTAGTATTCACATTTATAACTCTGGTAATAATTTAAAATATCACTGAGATCAAGACTCAGAAAATTACAGGGGTTTTCGGAGAAGATTTCACCAGTTCAGTCAGTSATAAAACTAACTAATGCATCACACTGACTACAGATCCTGCTAAGAGCAGCTGAGACTGGAGGGTTCTTGCAGCTGCAGGAATACACACTGATTAGATGCATGCCCACATAAGCAGTAAAATAAATCATTTTGTATATAATATACAGTACTTATAGCACGTTAACACCGTTAGGACAAAAAAGGTTCAATCAAATGCATGTTTCCATTTTTCCTGTCGATTACCCAAAATAAAATAAAAACGCACTCTTCAGCTAGAGCAGAGCAACTTATGTCTCATCTCGTAAACTTACAATACAATAGCGGCGGATGCCAGCTGTTCATGTAACATACCTGATGTTACACAACTTAGAAACATGACAGGAAGCAGCTCGGGGGAGAAGCAGGAGAAAACGCGCAATTCCGTGTCAAATTATGCTGCATTTTGCAAAGACAGCTAAAGAGTCGACCCTAGCTGCAGACCACCAGCTTTGAGCTTACCTGTCAAATGCTAGCAAGCCAACACAGTGCTGGCTGGGTTCAGCACAAAAAACAAACTAATAAAAACGTAAATATACCTAGTTAAACCACAGAAAATTCTTACCTTGACTGCATAGTCAATGACACGTTTAACTCCAACAAGAACACGGCCAGACATTGTAGCTAAAACGATTAATTGTCACAGACTGCTAATGCTACGCTGTACTATCACCGCAATGAACCTTCACCCAAAGGAAGGAGCCCAGAATTATTTTAGAGTGACACAGGGGAGGAGCCGACTAATCCAGCCAATGGAAAGCAAGTTTGCTGAGCATTCTTACCCTCGATTGGTGGAAACTCGCTGGACATCGTTGTTAAACTGATCAAAAAAGTGCTACGCTGAAATGACTGAATGACAAATAAAAGTTATCACTATTATTATTTTATGGGGAAGAAATCTCACATTGATCATGACGCAAAACGTCCGAGTGAGTTCTTTACTTTTAAAAAAGGCTAAAAAAAGTTTTTTTCCAGATTAGTTAATGTGGCGCTCCTTTTATTTGTCACGTAGAAAACCCAAATGAACAACGGTTCCGCTTTTAGTGGGGCAAAGTTCAAGGCTAACAGTAAAATGCAATAGCTCCAATTATAATAGTTTTAATTAATAGATTTCTAGTCTGGTATTTAAAAGTTTTTGTTTGACCCTTTGCTTTATCATAATTTCATGCAAATTAAATGTGCTTGAAAATGGGGTAAAATGAACACATGAAAGCTAGTTGAAGTGTCAGGTCAGGCTTAAAATATATATAAATTTACAACAGATGGGCGGTATCTGAAAGTAATTAATCAATAGCAATCCTCTGATATAGAACCTGAAATGCATCCTACTGTATWAACTTTCAGGAATGATCTGGATGGTGCAAAAATAATATCTTTAAATGGTCACCTTTGTTATTTTCTTATGAATTTAACTAAATAAATTAGCACTTTATGCGAAAGGTTAAGAGGATACCGATCCAGTTTAAAATTATTTATTTTTGTTATGTTCCCATTTGTTTATGTCTTGCATTTTTGTGCTTGAATGAAAAAAAAACACCCATTTAAAAAACTTAGACATTCAGAGGTTATTGAGAAAATTAAAATATTGCTTCTCTGGGAAGCTAAATCATGAGTGACTATTAGATAATGAATAATTATCTCTGGATGTGTTTATAAATATCTTGTTTGCATGTACCCTTTATGACACTTCCTTTTTATTTATTTATTTGTAAATACCAAAACCATAACTGTGAATTCATCCAACATATGCGCTATATTTTTGTGCCGCACAGTCGCAGCGTTGCGTTCGTTCATGCGATAAAAAGTCGTCGCTCTGAACGCGCGCGGACTACAGGAGCAGATCCGCGCGCGGAGTCACTTCTCAGCAGCAGCGGCCTCCATTTTAACTCCGACACCGACTCGTACCTCACGTGTCCTGGGCCGTCTCTCTCACATGACCCGAGTGTTTGTTCCCGTGATCAGCACTCCCARCTCTGTCTGTGTGACACGGAATATCACTTTTTATTTTCACCCTGATGGATATGCTCGAACAGAGTCTGGACACCGCAAGGTAACAGAGACTCGGTCAAAATGGCTAACTGAAACAAGCGAGCTACAACAGGCTACACGCATAGCTAGTTTTCGACGCTAAAGCGAGGCCTGACCCCGAAAAAAAATTGCTGTCAGAACGACTTTAATAAGTAGAATGAAGTGGAGTTAGCAAGATTAATGAAAGACTTTTTTGAGCAACATACGTGACAGGTTTCATGCAAAAAACATATCCTTCTGTGGAAAAAAAGTGATCGTAATTAGGTAATAACACTTTAGCAGCTAAGTTAGCACAGGCTAGCTTTTTTAAAACAAAAATAATGTAAGCAACTGAGGAATAGTTTTATTTTGCGGTCAAATCACTTTGTTGGTTGCCGGAGTTCGTGCATGAGTTTGGCGGAATGAAGTGTCATAAAATGCATTTATTTCCTCCGGGATAAACGATGTATTTTTGTATTTTATTTGCAGTCAAGCAAAGCAAGAAGAAGAGGTTGTCCAGTCATCCGAAGGTAAGATTTAAGCATCTATTTTGATCAAGTCTTTAATCTTTCGTGATTTCTTTATATTTTGCTTCCAAAAACTAAGACTTTCTTGCAATTTCAGTGGTCTTGAGCAATATTATGTCAAWTTTTTTTCTGTTCTGACCATTTTTAGTCTTAACCATTTCAGGATAAAGTTGTTTCACCCATAACTTTGACCTGTGGATCTTTTAGGCCTATTTTTTATTTTTGATGTCAAACAATAAGTTGGTGTTGTCTTTACAAGTAACAGACAACTTAGCAAAAAAAAAAAAAGCCTTTTTAAATTAAATCTTTACACAYTTTAATAATAGCAGATTAGCAGCCCATCACAACAACACAATTTATTCTCATGTATTTAGCTGAATCAATAAAATACTCCCTGAAACATAATTTGACACATAAATAGTCCTTTGGCTCTAGCAAGATCACTCTTTAAGAGTAGGTTATCAGCTGAAAAACTTGACATCAGTTGAACAGTGATGCATTTCTTTATCGTGCCAAGTCCTTGTTGAATTCTTTCCCATTTTTTTAAATTTATTTTTAAAGATTACGACTTTCAGAAACTGTTCATCTGCTGCAGATTGCACATTTTTAAGCTTGACACTTATTTTATCCACTTGTTTACTTAATACTATATGCTGTACTGACAACACTTTGCTTCTATCTGTTGTTTTCTTTGTTTTTTTTTTTCTCTAAGACGGAACAGGAGAAGAGCAGACGGCTGTAACTATAGCCAGTGTTCAGCAGGCTGCAGCATTTGGTGACCATAACATACAATATCAGTTCCGCACAGAGGGCGGGCAGGTACGTAACTGTTGGATTAATGAGTTACACAGCCTAAGGCTTCTGCTTTGTAAATGCAGGTTTTAAAAGACTTGGACATTAAGGATAAGCGTGAAATTGATTTGGAAAGAAGAATAAATACACTGCAGAATAATTTTAGACATCTTACATTTACTAAAAACATGCATAAATCACAGTAAATTGGTTAAAATATTAAGAAATGGGGAAATACTCTCGTATATGTCTGCCACAATAGATCAGATTGCAAGCAAGTCTTGCTCTATTACAGACTTCCACACGTTATCACAAATCAAGGGGGAATTACTCCAAAATTATTGGAGGAACGTAGGCATCAGTGGATGGCCAGGTTACATCAGAATTTTGAAAGAAAAACTGAGCATAATCTGAGTTTGTCCTGTTCATTTAGTGTCATGCCTGCACTATTTCTTTTAGTGTTAGAGTCCTACAGTCAAATCTGTTGTGGATGGATCAAAGAGAAACAGTTCACACACTTTAATGACAAGTGTCTGGTTAAAGACAAGCATAAGTACAAAATCAAAAAGAAAAAAATAAGTAGATCCTCTGGACGGGTTCTTCTTTAGTGAAACGTTTCGTCTCTCCTCCAAGAGACTTCTTCAGTCTGAGGAGTTTCAGGTGTTTTAAGCGCCGCCTCCGTATGGTGGACAAGCAGGTTAGTCACATGCAAAAGAGGGCCATCACCTAACAATAGGCTTGATTAGCTCTATTGTTCATAGAGGGTCATGTGCCCCATCACCTGACTATGTTGGGGGYGCCCTGATTCACACCTTTTGCTCACGGGACTGAGTCATACTTGCAATAACTGCATTGCTTAAGCATCCTAACTGGGCTTTTCTGAAAGCAGACAAGATTCCCAAACAGGATTCCAGCCAACAACCAGGTGAAAATGAAGACCCTAAACCCAGACCCAAACCAGTCGTCATTCCATATGTGGCGGGAGTTTCAGAGAAACTGAGACGTTTTTTCTCTAAACATGACGTCCCAGTGACTTTCAAACCACAAAACACATTACGACAAAGATTAGTTCATCCCAAAGATCCAGTTCCCCAGCAAAAACTGAGTAATGTAGTATATGCTGTTAAGTGTCAGGAGGACATCAGTTATACATCGGGGAAACAAAACAGCCACTGTTCAAAAGAATGAGCCAGCACAGAAGAGCTGCATCGTCYGGTCAYGACTCTGCAGTTTACACTCATCTACAGGTCACTCTTTCAGGGATGAGGATGTTCTCATCCTTGATAGAGAGGAACATTGGTTTGAGAGAGGAGTAAAGGAAGCCATCTTTGTGAAGAAACACTGTCCACCATTAAACAGAGGTGGAGGCCTTCGTGTCCAGTTGTTCTCCTCCTATTATTGCAAGTATGACTCAGCCCCCGGTGAGCAAAAGGTGTGAATCAGGGCCCCAACGATACCCAACACAAAGATGGAAAGAGGGACAAAAACTAGGCGACGTTGAACCCCGCTTGCACTCACTATATACACATAACAAAACACCAAATAACCACAGACGAAGCATTCAAACCAATAAGTCAGGTGA